TATGGAGACAGGTCAAATTTCAGCTTCTGAATTTCCATTTCTTCATACGTCAGGTAGTGTGCTAGGAATGGAGGTATACAGTGCTAATATGCCGATGTGCAGCAAGGCATATAATGGAAGCTTCGGTGCATAGTACGGAAAGACTTCGTAGCCATTAGTTCAGAGTGGACAGGATGAGTTACCTCAATAAGAATGTGATCAGCAAATTCCTTGACCGTTTTAAAGTGTCGCTGATAGCTGGTATTATAATGTCAGCTAGAAAAAAATGCAGGGAACACCAGCAGCTGAAAAGAGCGTTCGAAGGATACATTTAAAAATGACCTGGTCTTTTTTAAAGAAGGCTAGAAAAATAACGGGACAGAGCAGTAAATAATGAGGGGAAGAATGCTTTCTTTAATTCATCCGGTAGCACATTATGTCTTCTTCAAAGTTTAAACTCGATTCATATCTTTTGCCTTTAAGAAAGGTTCTAATGATAAAATTTCTTAAGAACATTGGTGTCCATGCACAAAGCAATGTTTTTGTCAATTTATTTATTTAGCTTATAAAGTGGTTCACATTAATTGCAAAATGTTATGGGTCCTGTGTGAGGTCTTCCTCACAGCGTAGGGAAGTGTGTGTGATCGGATGAATTGAGGCCCAATGGTCGGCCATCCACCCAATTAGCTCACTTCCGTGGCCGGCAAGGCGAAAGAGACGGGCTAGATTCCATCAGGCGCTAACGGTGGTGAGACTCGCCAGGCACAGGCTAGCGGCACTAACTCATCGAGCATAATGTAGGGAGACAGAATCCAGTTCTGGCTTCTGAGACTACCACTTTTTCAGGAGGACAACTGGGCCGGAAATTCGGACAACTGAGGTGAAGGCTTTCTATTAGAGACAAAAGTAAGTAGAGCATGGTCAGTTATACCAAATTTTTTTGCTGGCGCTACAGCCAGAAATACAGCGTTCTACAGATTCCATGAAATTTCGATCCAAAACGAGTATCGGTCAATGCAGTGCCAATGTAGTGTGGTTTGGGAACCCTGAATGCAAGTTTTACGGTAGATCTTCTTCATAATTATTGCAAAAGGTTTATGTTAAACCAGAAGTTATCCTGTGGTGACAGCCAACCTAGCTGTCCGACCTCGTTGTCCAATGCTGGCTGTCTCAACGTCATGCAACTTCGCAACTCGGACTCGCCGACCCACAGACTGACTTCCGAGAGTTCGAACGTCGATTTCGACGATATCCACCACGGGCTTCAGCAGGCTTAAGAAGTACCGCTCCGGCACCCTACACCTATGTAAAGGCAAAAGTTGAGAAGATTTGAGATGGGGGGTGGCGCAGGCGGCTGACGCGACCACACTCCAGCACGCGCCACAACAAAAC